CTCTTCCTAGGGATTTTGCTCAATCTGTTTTAAACTTGGCCCATTCCTTCATAAGGCATGTGGAACAAAAATATTTCGAAATGGTGAGTTTTGGAGCATGATGAAGGGGCTGGGCCTGACCTCAAAGTTTGACATCTCGCAATGAAAAATGAAACAATAAAAGCTCCTATAGAAAAACAGTCTGAGACATAAACCCTTCAGTGATTGATCCACATCTTGTCCCCTACAAGACCGAATGGTCAAAGCATGACATCACTTAACCCACACCCACTGAATCCCCTGCTGTTTGCATATGGTTGGTTATAAATCAAACATGCATTATACGATTTGCTCCAAAGTGGATATAAATGACCATTGTTAACCTATAAAGAAGCCAATAGGATTAAGGTCGTTTTCACACTAGATAGTCCGGTAGACTCGGTTCGGTTCGGGACCAATATTCATGAGCTTTTGTTTACATTTGAGCTGGTGCGTTTGCATTCACACTGCACTGTGCAGTCGAATCAACCTGTTGAACCAACCTATTCCCCCGCTCGCCTGTGGGGGTGCTGCACCAAGAACTACTGAAAGAAACGACACAAAAACCTCTGAAGACACTTCTTCTTCTTCTGTAAATAAAAATAAAAACGAAGTGGCATCAAGTTTTAGCAGTTTTAGGAGTTATATTTTGTCATTTTTCAAAAATGGACTTAGCATGAGCAGAAGATGAGACAGAAGACCATGGAGAATATTTTTTTTCACACAAGGCAGCTGACGGCTCCATATAAGAGAAATGCGTGTTTGTTTACCCTGTGGAGCGGTCCGGTCTGTTTACATTCACACTGCACTGGAACCGTGCTGGAGTTCGCTTCTACCGGACCGAGACCTAGGTTTTAGCCCGGGCCAGAGTTCGCCTTTTTGTTCCGTGACAGAGTTCGATGGCGCATTCACACCTCCCTAAAGGAACCGGACTTTCAAGGAAAATGAGCTAGAGTTCGATTAAAGCGGACTAAACAGGGCTGGTGTGAATGCACCCTTTATCAAGAGTTGACTCCAGTGCACCACCTACATTACTCAGTCATTTAGAGCTCCCTGATACCTTATCCGATCTGCATCAGATTTTTGGTGCATGATCAGTGGGCACTTGTAGACACATTGGCATTGTTATTTCATGATATCACTTAAGCGCTGCCCACTCAGAGAAGAAACAAAGTATTATTGGGTGACTCTTCCAGCTTCTCCGTGTAAGCTATAAGACTGAAACCGTATTTGCTAACTGTTGATTACCACACATGACATGTTGAAAAGCCTAAAGGAAGTGCTCATCAAACATTTGCCACAAAACAGGAAGTCACAATAACTCCTGTCTGCATGGTCGGATTTTGCCTATACTTGTAAGACCTGCAACTGGACAAGTAACTCACATGGATGGAAGGCGATGTCGAAGATTAGGGAAATGCGCCCCGTGGTGAATGTGTGCGGGATTGGCACAAGAGCGTTCACGATGGTGACTGGGTGGAGTAGCGGGAGCTCCCGCGGTTGCGGTATGGCCGGAGTGGCGCTTTGCTACGAAGGGTCTTCAATGCTGCTTGCAGCTTTAATTGTTGTTGTTTTCCTCTGTTCCATTGTCATGATATTTAATACGTGTTGGTGCTGCTAGTTTTGAAATACTGCTGTGTTGGAAAAGTAGATTTAGTTTATCTACAAGGTATCTCACTGCACCGTCACTTTATTTTATCTTTATTTTAGATACCAGAGGAAAAGGAGGAGAGATGACAGGGTACACAAGTCACCCGATCATTCCTACCCTGGCAGTGACCCTCCAGAACAAGAATCCAACATGGAACACGATCCTGGTACAAATACATTTTGTCTGATAACTAACTGTTAGAGATCCTTGGTTGTGAAATTTTAGGAGAAGTTATTAACTTCTAAAAAAAAATCTTAGTCTGGAGAAGGATAAGAATTAACAGAATGTTTAGCTAAAACTGTATATTTCCAGTTGCTTTTATTTTCACTGTTACTCCTTTTGCCCCCCTCATCTCCTACTACCATACATTTTAGTAAGCTTGTAAAAATTTTAGTATATATCCCAATACATAATTCAGATGGAGTATTTCTATAATACTAGGATGTCCTACATTTTGGTCACATTTTGCAGTATTCAAGACAGTATTTTTTTTTTCTTTTTTGGCTATTCTGATCCACAATTCCCTGTACAGCTGAAGATTTATCACATGATTAATCAGTTGCAAAAGAACAGAGCAGTAGCAGCACAGTCATATTCTGTGTAACAGAGAATACTTGATTTAAATATTTCATGCTGTTTGTGCATATGCTAACTGTTCATTTTGATATATTTCAGCTCATGAAGATATTTTTCATTCGTTCAACCTTTATTTCTACAGGTAAATCCCATTGAGCCTCGAGGACTCATTTACAAGAGAGACCTGAATATCCCAGTCCCAAGGAGTGAATATGATGATCTCAACCTGAGGCACCATCAACTTCAGGATGAATATGTCAACCTGCGGGAGGAGTTAAACACACTGCAGGCTGAAAATCAGAAGATAAAAGATGAACTGAAAAAAAGCTAAGTTTTCTTATGCAACTGTTAGGTGCAAAATTGATCAACTATTTTTTTCTCACAGGACTTTCGGCTGTTATCTTATCTCAATAATATGTTATGTTATCTCAATAAAGAGAAATGTAAGTAAATTGTAACGTGTGTATTTTTTTTCCCCACAGTGTAAATACAGCACAGCAATAAAGCACATAATTAAAACTAATTGTTTCATATTTTTCATTGACCCTTTATTTATCCAGGTAGTCTCATTGAGCCACGAGAACTCATTTTCTAGAGAGACCTGTTTAGGAGCAGATGGTGGGGGTTAAGGGCCTTGCTCAGGGGCCCAGAGTGGGGCAAATAAGGGTGGAGGCAGGTGTGGGTGTTTCACCTTTTCCACCCACATTTTGATGTTGACAGTACCGGGAGGTGAACCTGTGACTTTCCGATCACAGGCCCATCTTCTAACCTCTGCACCACCACTCCCCCAAATAACGTAATATTTCAAAGAGGGGCTAATGTAAGTACCGGTTTACGTATTGGAAGCCTATAAAAACATGTAACAAATATTAACATATTTATGAAATGATTTGAAACAATCAACATCAGAATTCTGGAGAACTATTAAGTGAATAAATCAAACAACAGATCATTTAACACCCAGGTAAGTCCACAACATAACAGAACAAAACCAAAGATTACACTTCTTACTTCCTCATATTCAAATTCATGGAATTTGACATCCAGGCCTAAATTCTCTGACACAGAAATCTTCATGACTTTTATCCATAAAATCTGTGTAAACTTCTCATGCTGTTTCCTCCATGTTTTTCCCCCACACCACAGATGGGACAACATCAGAGGCTCCTTCCTTATTCATTGGACTTATCTCATCCTTTACTGATGTCACAGATCCTACAAATGTATTTTCATATCTCCAGTTCTGGTGGTGGGGGCATGATGTTACTCAGGGTTTTTTGCATTTGAAATGTGAAACTGAATTGGTGTGAGTGATTCTAAACATTTCCTCCTCACGGGGCCGCGCTCTCATGCCGTTGGCAAATGCATCTGTTTCTCCAAGCTAACGGCTAAAGTTGTTGTTTAGGAAGGAAAAGAGGAGACATATGGATGCAGTTAGAGAGGACATGGAGGTAGTTGGAGTGAGGACAGAGGACACAGAGGACAGAGTGCGATGGAGGAGGACTTTTTTATATTAAATAATAAACTCCACAATTTTTATTTCAGTCTTTCCTAAATACCAGATGTTCTGTGTCCTTTAAAGTCTTAATATTAACAATAACAGAAGATAGAGGACTCTTCTTTACATTTAGTGAACGTGCTGCTTGCTGCTCTAATGTTGTGTCACTCACGAACAACAGAGAGGGGAGTCTGTCAGAGAGGGCAGGGAGTGATTTGTTCAATGAATGAACTGCTGATCTGCACATGCGCACACACAGAACTGCTGCTGACGAGTGATTTGTTCTT